TGCTCGAAAGACGCCCGAGGTATTTCTGTTAGGAACGATAAAAGCCATCAAAAAAAAAAAAAATAATAATAATCGAGCCTCTGGATAGCCGGGGAGCTCGTGCATCCGACGCCGGGAAGCTGGATCCCGAGGCGCCTCCGGCCCCGCTCGCTGCATCGCTGGTCCAGGGACGGATGAACGGGAAAATAATAAATAGGTTATCCTGAGTTCGGTGGGCGACGGCTTCCGAAAAACCGAGGAGAGGAAAAGCCTGGCCGAGTCCGAAATAATAAAGAAGAGGTATATGTCGTGCTGCCGTCGGGGCTGGCCGGGGTCTCCTGCACTTTGGGAGGAAGGGGTCCGGCCCCGGCGTGGCTCTGGGGGAGAACCGGAGCCCCCGCAGACCCCAGCCCGGCCCCTCCAAACCCTGCGTTCATCGGCCAAGTCCTGAAAGCAGCCCCGGAGCCTCGGGCTGGGGCGAGGGGTCCGTCCCCACGCCCCCGGCCCCCCGATGCCGCGCTGTCAGTGCCTGGTGCCGTACATTTTGTCCCACTCCAGGAACAAGTCCAGCTCCTTCTGGGAGGCGGCGGGGCGGACCTTGCAGAACGCCTTCTCAAAGTCCTGGTAGGAGGTGGGCTGGATCTGGCCCGGCAAACCGTGCAGCGTGGTAGCCCCGGCGTGCTGGCAGAGCTGGACCAGCTCGCTGCCCGAGAAGTTCTCCGTGTGCTGCACCAGGGAGGCCATCTCCCGCTCACTCAGGCAGGAGCTCTGCTGAGCCAGGGCGTGATGGAGGATCTGCCGCCGGGCGATGCTGTCCGGCGGGGAGATGTAGAATCGCTTGGCGAAGCGCCGGTGGGAAGCTTCGTCCATGCTGCCAGGCCGGGAGGTGGTCCCGATGATGACCACGTTCTGCTCGGATGAGGTAGCCACGTTGTCCAGGTAGGAGAGGAGCTGGGACTTGAGGTTGCTCACCTGGCTGCCATCCTCACCAGCCCGGGCCACCAGCAAGGACTCGGCCTCGGTGATGAGCACCACCGCGGGCTGCCGGCAGCTGGCCACGAAGAAGACGGTCTGCAGGATCTTCTCGGCTTCAGCTTTCCAGGTGGAGAGCAGGGTTGTCCCACTGAGCTTCAGCAAGGTGGAGCCCAGCTGGGTGGAGATGCACCGGCTCAGCAGGCTCTTCCCCGTGCCGCGGGGGCCAAACAGCAGGATGGTTCGGGGCGGCCGGCTCGCCCCGGTGTAGGCGCCGGGACGCAGGATGGGCCACACCAGCTCCTCCTCGATGGCGGCCTTCACGGAGACCTGCCCGGCGATGTCCGTCCACTGCACGGGCGGCCCCCGCTCCACGATCTTGGTGTTCACCAGCTCCAAGACCAGGGGGTCGACGTTCTTGGGCTGCTCCTCCACCGGCGGGCTGCCGAAGACCGGCGCTTTGGGGGGCAGCCGCCGCGGGGGGGGGGGGTCCGGCTCCGGCGCCCCC